CTTCCAGTCCTCAGGAATGGAGGCTGATTTTAAGGAAAGATTACATATTTTTGTCAGGAGATCCACAAGTTCACATTTGAGTTCTTTCAGAACTCTCGGATGTATGCCATCTGGGCCTGGTGATTTATCAGTTTTTAAGTTGTTTATCAGTTTTAGGACCTCCTCTCTCGTCACCTCAATCTGACTCAGGTCTTTCAACACCCCTCCTGAAATCAGTGGTTCTGGAGTGGGCAAGCACTTCTCATCTTCCACAGAGAAAAAAGAGGCAAAAAATGAATTCAGCTTTTCAGCCATTTCCCTATCATCCTTCAGTACTCCTTTTACCCCTTGGTCATCCAAGGGCCCCACTGCCTCCCTGGCTGGTTTCCTGCTTCTAATGTATTTGAAGAAAGTTTTATTGTTGGTTTTTACGTTTTTTGCTATATGCTCCTCATATTCCCTTTTTGCCTGCCTGACTACAGACTTGCATTTTATTTACCATAGCCTGTGTTCCGTTTTATCAGCCTCACTGTGACTAGCTTTCCACCGCTTAAAGGAATCCTTTTTACCTTTTAAAGCTTCCATTACTTTGTTAACCATGCAGGCTTTTTCCTATACCTGTTTGTGCCTTTCCTAACCTGAGGAAATATTTTTTTTTAGCTTCTAGAATCGTAGTTTTAAATAGTTTCCAAGCTTCCCCAATGGTTTTGACCCTTTCTACTTTTCCCTTCAGTTTCCTCCCCATATGTCCCCTCATATCAGAAAAATTACCCCTTTTAAAGTTAAAAGTGGTTGTGTGAGTCTTGTTGGCCAATTCCCTATTTGTACAAATGTTGAACTCCACAACATTATGATCACTGTTCCCAAGCGGTGCAATCACTTTTACATCTCTCACCAGGTCTTGAGTGTTACTTAGGACCAAATCACGGATCGCCTCTCCCCTGGTAGGTTCTGTGACCATCTGCTCCATAGGCTGCTTTGTGTCTCAGACATCCACGAACATTGCAAGAGGGCCAGGATTACGACATTAAGACAGTGCAGACCAAACAAGCCAGTTGAAAAAAATTCCATATGGTAAACAATACAGAAGATGGATTACGGAAGCAGAAGCCAAGGCCCTAAATCCAAGACAATACTGACGATAAATGGTACGATCCTGTGCCATTTGTAAAAGCATCCCCCCCAAACCAATCCGTCAAGTCAGGGTTGACTTACGGCAACTCCCATCGGGTTTTCAAGGCAAGAGGTGATTTGCCATTGGGGGGAGGAGGAGATTGGATTTATACCCCGCCCTTCACTACCCAAAGGAGTCTCAGAGCGGCTTACAAACTCCTTTCCCTTCCCCTCCCCACAACAGACACCCTGTGAGGTAGGCGGGGCTGAGAGAGCTCTTCACAGAAACTGCTCTTTTTTCAAGAACAGCTCTTATCAGAATTACGGCTTGCCCAAGGTCATCCAGCCAGGTGCCCTGTTGCTGGCCCTCCGGAGGAACTGGGTGGCCACTGTGTGAGACAGGAGGCTGGACTAGAGGGACCCTCCCTGGTGTGACCCAGCAGGGCTCTTCTGAGGTTCTTATCAGGGGAAGGCCTCGACCTCTCTGCCCTGTTGTGGGCCCTCCAGAGGAACTGCCTGGCCCCTGTGTGAGACCAGATACTGGACTAGGTGGACCCTCACTGGTCTGATCCAGCAGGGCTCTTCTGATGTCCTTATCAGGGGAAGGCCTTGGCCTCTATGCCCTGTTGTTGGCCCTCCAGAGGAACTGGTTGGCCACTGTGTCAGACAGGAGGCTGGACTAGATGGACCCTCACTGGTCTGATCCGGCGGGACTCTTCTGATCCTCTTATTGGGGGCAAGGCCTCGGCCTCTATGCCCTGTTGTTGGCCCTCCGGAGGAACTGGTTGGCTGCTGTGTGAGACAGGATGCTGGACTACATGGACCCTCACTGGTCTGATCCAGCAGGGCTCTTCCAATGTTCTTATGAAGGCCTCGGCCTCTATGCCCCGTTGTTGGCCCTCCGGAGGAACTGGTTGGCTGCTGTGTGAGACAAGATGCTGGACTACATGGACCCTCACTGGTCTGATCCAGCAGGGCTCTTTTTATGTTCTTATGTGGTATTTCTGTGTTACGTGTTTCCTAATGCAGGCTTTCTTAGGCTCGCTTTTTCAAAAAAATATTCTCCCACCAACCTGGCCCCTTGGGAGAGGCAGCTAGACCTTAACAGAAACGTCTCTCTGGTCCCTGCACTCAGCAGGATATGTAAAATGTAAAAGTAAAAACACTTTGGCTTCTGACACCGTCTGCTCCCTTTCTCTCTCAGATGTGAAGCCCTCGAATATGTTGGTGAACACAAGAGGCCAGGTCAAGTTGTGTGATTTTGGGGTCAGCACCCAGGTACGTTTCATCCCAGTTTGCCAACCTCCCCCCCTCCCCCCCCTCATTAGCGCTGCTTTCCAGAGTGTCCACGAGACCCAACGGGAGCCCCCTTGCGACACCCTCGCCTCTACTGGGAATGCCCGATTCATCCTTTTAATCTCCCGGCCACTTTCCTTCATCAGGATATGATTGTTCATTGTTTAATGACAGTAAAAACTGCTGATGTTGTAATTACTACTTACGAATAGCCAACTTCATTGATATGCAGCTTGGCGCGGGAAGCGTTTGGGCCAAACAAAAGGGAGGGCAGATCGGGAGGAGCGCCTTGGGAGCCCGACTGGCCCACGGTAAAAATTAATATTGGGAGCAACAATAGTTAGTGGGCTTCGGCGGCGCGCAGCACAAATTTTAATTAATTTCCATTTTGGGCTTCCCCTGAGAACCTTCGTGATACTGACCCATGAGCTTGCCGTAGTCTTGAATTGAATTGCGGCCACCTTTCCTCCCAGCGAAACACGAGGCCCAAAGAGAAGGTCACTGCTGCATGATACGTTGTCAAAGTCTGTTGTTCCTCCAGCATATTTAGTGTTCATTCCAGGCGGATAATGAAGGTGGCTTTATTCACATCTTGAGCCAGCTGACAGTGGGGGGGGGGCTGGTTTGTTGGGTGGAAGTGAAATAGAATAAAAAATTGGGGGGGGGACCCTACTTCCAATTTACTTTTTTATATCCAACTGGCTGTCGGTGGTATAAAAGCTCGAAAGCATCCCGTTTAAAATGGGAATCGTCTGTGAGGTTATGTGTCGTAAACGACAGCGCTGTGGTAGTTTTAAATTAGGACTCTTGCGCAAAGGAGGAAGGGAGGACTCAATCATCTTAATGCCTTCACAGGCAAATGTGTCGTCTCCCCCACTGCCACTGCCTTTTCCTCCCTGTTATATAATTTTTAGCTGATTTATATATAGGATGATTGTAGGTTAAATGAGGAATAATTGCCCGTTTTATTCCTCACATTATCTTTATATGGCTCTAACAGACTGTTTTGTCTGATAGCTGGTGAATTCCATCGCCAAGACGTACGTCGGGACGAACGCTTATATGGCGGTAAGTGTGATTTACGCAGAGACTTGCAAGCAGTGTCCCCTCTAAGCTGAGTTAGTTTGAGGTAGCTCACAGTTTCTTAGCCTCCGACTCACACATTTTTTGCCTCAGCTCAGGAAGGATGGCTCCAGGGCAGACTAATGTATGCAGTAGCCAAAGCGTTCGCTCACAACTTTTAATGCCAGGAGCTCACAAAGTAGAATGTTTGCTCACAATACTCTACAGCTTACAGGGAACATTGCTCCAAAGCAAACTAATTTATGCAGTAGCCAAATCGCTCACTCACAACTTTAATGCCAGGAGCTCACAAAGTATAATTGTGCTCCCAAGACTCTCCACAGCTGAGAGAGGGAGCATTGCTTGCAAGTGAAAAAGCCTTTGGTGGACTACCTGGTTTGGTGTTCCCTCTAAGTTTAGTCGTTTGCTCTCCTACCATCATGTACATCTGTGTTCATTTTCGGGTTTTTTGCAAATAGATCGTAAAGCCATATACAGAACTGCAGAATGCAGAATCATCAGAGAATAGCCTGTTCAGTGTTCCCTCTAAGCTGAGTCAGTGTGAGCTAGCTCATAGTTTTTTAGTCTCCGGGTCACACACATTTTTGTCTCAGCTCAGGAAGGAGGGCTCCAGAGCAATCTAATTTATGCAGCAGCCAAATCACGTGCTCACAACTTTAATGCCAGGAGCTCACCAAGTAGAATTCTGTGTCAACCTACGATGACATGTAGGACTCTGGGGTGGAGGAATGATTTCTGGGGGAGATTCCTGTTAAATTCCAGGCCCTAGGTAACTTTGGCAATATCAGATATGATTTGTCACCTTTAGCCATGCCCTGGAGATTCCAAACGACTCAAGGATGCGATACATGGAGTCATCTTTGAAGATGGTTCAGAAACTTCAGTGGACCCAAAATGGGGTGGCTGTAAGGAACATCTGTCTCCATTTTCAGATGACCTCATTGGCTCCCAGTCGGTTTCCAGGCTCAGTTCGAAATGCGGCTACTAACCTAGAAGGCTCTAGACGGCCTGGGCCAACAGCTGCTGGCATTTAATGTCTTTCTCTGATCCAAGCCTAGATGGGGACTGTTCAGTGTGCTACTATACTTGTATGAGGGTTTGGTGACTTTCTTGAGAGTGTGTTTCTTGTGTAACTGTGATAAGCCACTGTTGCGCCCTCACAGGAATGATGTTGGAGCCCGGTTCCTCCATAAGAACATCAGAAGAGCCCTGCTGGGTCAGACCAGTGAGGGTCCATCTAGTCCAGCATCTTGTCTCACACAGTGGCCAGCCAGTCCCTCTGGAGGGCCAGCAACAGGGCAGAGAGCCCGAGGCCTTCCCCTGAAAAGAACATTGGAAGAGCCCTGCTGGGTCAGACCAGTGAGGGTCCATCTAGTCCAGCATCCTGTCTCACACAGTCCCTCTGGAGGGCCACCAACAGGGCAGAGAGGCCGAGGCCTTCCCCCTGATAAGAACATCAGAAGAGCCCTGCTGGATCAGACCAGTGAGGGTCCCTCTAGTCCAGCATCCTGTCTCACACAGTGGCCAGCCAGTCCCTCTGGAGGGCCACCAACAGGGCAGAGGGGCTGAGACCTTCAAAAGAACACCAGAAGAGCCCTGCTGGATCAGACCAGGGAGGGTCCATCTAGTCCAGCATCCTGTCTCACACGGGCCAGCCAGTCCCTCTGGAGGGCCAGCAACAGGGCAGAGGGGCTGAGACCTTCAAAAGAACACCAGAAGAGCCCTTGTGGATCAGACCAGTGAGGGTCCGTCTAGTCCAGCATCCCATCTCACACAGGGGCCAGCCTTTTCCTCTGGAGGGCCAACAACAGGGCAGAGAGGCCGAGGCCTTCCCCTGATAAGAACATCAGAAGAGCCCTGCCGGATCAGACCAGTGAGGGTCCGTCTAGTCCAGCATCCCGTCTCACACAGGGGCCAGCCTTTTCCTCTGGAGGGCCAACAACAGGGCAGAGAGGCCGAGGCCTTCCCCAAGAAGCACCTAAGAAGAGCCCTGCTTGATCAGACCAGTGAGGGTCCATCTAGTCCAGCCTCCCGTCTCACACAGTGGCCAACCAGTTCCTCTGGAGTGCCAGCAACAGGGCAGAGGGGCCGAGGCCTTCCCCTGAGGTTGCCTCCTGGCTCTGGGATTCAGAGGATTAGTGCCTCTGACTGTGGAGGCTCCCCTCAGTCACCATGGCTGGTAGCCATTGATAGACTGGTCCTCCGTGAATCTCTCTAATCCCCTTTTAAAGCTGCCTGTGCCTGTGGCCATCACGACATCCTCTGGCAGCGAATTTCACATTTGAATCAGGTATAGCCCTGTCATGGATCCGGAATGCGGAGGGGTGCCTTCCTCCCCGCTCTCAGCTCTTCCCTGTCCAGCTACTGTGCGCTTGACCTCGTAGTCTCCAGCTGCCTTTTACTCGGCTGGGAAAGTAATGGCCTTTCGCTTTGCCCGCTTCCTCGCTTGCTTTTGCCCATGTGCGCGGACTATAATCATTGGCTACGTGTTCTTTAGTACTGGAACCACTAATAAACAGTTACCTTCTTCTGAAGCCCTGTGTGGTGTGACCTGACTAGGAGGGAGCCTTACACTCTCTGTGTAAAGTAGTATTTCCTTTCCTGCTGCCCATCAGCTTCATCCGATGCCTTCGAGTTCTAGTATTTTGGGAGAGGGAGAGAAATGCAACTTTCTTTCTGCATAAAGAGGGAAGGTTTCTTGCAGTCTGCCCGTACTGCTGCCTGGGGAGCAGGAGGCACCTTGAACTGCGTTCTTCACTGTTTTCCCAGTCATTGATTTGCTTGGTATTTTTTCGGACTAAGGTGTGTAGAGATCACTTAACCTCTAAGAGCAGAAAAGGGGAAGGGTGTAATAGAGCTCTGATGTAGTATGTTTGATAGACCAACTCTGCTGATTGCTGCCTCTCTAATCTCAAAAGAGCTAGAACACTCTGATTTAAAGGTGGGGAGGGGGGGGGACTTCAAACGAACTATTTTATCTACCGGCTCCTCTTCTTGATGGCTTGAAATAGCTGTAATAATTAAATTGTATTATTCCTTTTAATGTACAAACCTCGATTACACATCTATTTCCCAGGTGTGCATTAAAGAAATTACTTTTTTTCCTTATTGTTTACGGATGACTGTGATGCATCCATCTGTTAATTGAAAAAGTGAGGATTAAAGCTAAGAAGTAATTTCGCCGGTCCTTCTGTTTTCGGACTGCTTTGCTTCTCGCAAGACTTTGTTTCCAGTCAATCAGATATTTCAGCTTAGTCTTAAAAAACAAAAATTATATAACATGAGGAACAGAGAGAGAGAGGGGAGCAGACCCATACCCCGTTCCATCTGGCGCACTGGGGATGCGATGGGCAGATGTAACTGTTTTGTAGACCCCTTACGGTGTCTCTATTGTCTGGAGTGCCGACCTGGGGCTAAATGAAAGGCATACAATGGAGGCCAATTGACTCAGCCAAAGCAAAGACTAGTCTGGGAAGAGCTCGGGACACAAAGTAGATGCCGTTAATAGAGTCGGTTCCCCATATGTCTCTCAACTTCGTTTCATTGATTTTGTACAAGGAAGAACTCATCCGAACCAGGGAGGATTGTGAGGCACTCCGAAGGGATCTAGTCGATCCTACATTGGCTTCTCTTATGTTCTTATGAGATAGGCACAATATATGATCTTTCTCTGCGCCCCCCGCCCCCCCGCATTCCCCCAAAGTGGGTGAGGGCGGGGAGTACTGTTTTCTTCTTCCTGGCCGTAGCATCTCGTGTACCTTAATGCTGAGAGTAATTTCCTCTCCCTCCCGCTCTATCTAGTAAAGGTCCCTGCTCAACGGTATTTACAAAGGGACGTCTTTCGTGGAGGATCGGGTGACTCCCGGCTGCTCGGCTGTCTCGAAGGGTGGGAACGACCCGGAAATGTTGCCTTGAGATGTAAAAAATGCACGAGAGGTTTCTGTGCCCTGCATCTGGGCCGTTGGGAACTTGCTCTTAGGAATGTCCGAAGCAAATGATTGTGTGGATGCTGCGCCACAAGATGCTCCTCCTCCTCTTCCCACTTTATTTCATGTCCCTGAAATTGGACGAAGCCCTGTACAAATGGTCAGAAGTGGATGACTTGGCGCTGTCTTGGTGCATAGCCAGTTTGGCGTAGAGGTTAAGTGCGCGGACTCTAATCTGGGAGAACCGGGTTTGATTCCCCACTCCTCCACTTGCACCTGCTGGATGACCTTGGGCAAGCCATAGTTCTGGCACAGCTGTTCTTGAAAAAGAGCCGTTTCTGTCAAGAGCTCTCTCAGCCCCGCCTACCTCACAGGGTTTCTGTTGTGGGGAGGGGAAGGGAAAGGAGTTTGCAAGCCGCTCTGAGACTCCTTTGGGTAATGAAGGGCCATGGGGTATAAATCCAATCTCCTCCTCCTCCTCCTCCTCTTCTCCTCCTCCTCCTCCTCCTCCTTCTTCTTCTTCCCCTCCTTTTGTCTTCAGCAGCCATGCAGATCAGGGGGCCTCATCTTGAACAGGGCTGACCCACGGGTTTTCGACATCCAATATCAGCTATGATTTTGCCCCCCCCCCCCCAGTTCAGCATATAGACACAAATATCATAAAACATCCACTGGGTTATTGCCAGTGCTGCTCTCCTACGCATGCTTGCCTGGGAGTCAATCCCTTTAAACACAGTGGGGTGTCCGGGACTTGTGCCTGGCCCATCCTCAGCGGAGGTACCGCCGCAAATTCGGGGGCTTCCCCCGTGCTGCAGGAGCCTCCCTCACCCTTCCAGTAGCCACCGTCGACTCGGACAGAACTCCCAGGAGGAGGCTCTGAGTGACAGACCAGCTTGGGGTGGGTGGGAAGGAAGCACGGATGTCGGCTCCCCATCCAGGCCAGGGAGGAGCAGACAACGTTGTGTCTGTGATTTTTTTTATTTAACATTCACTCAGCGCTAAAAGCTCCTGACCTGGGATTAGTGGCTGAGCGGCAGCCTCCTCGGGAACGTTGGACTGGCACTAATTTGGGCGCGTTTGTTTCCCTCTTAAAGGCCTCTGGGTTATTGGAGAACGGGGACGGGCAGGCGGGGGGGGAGCCGTCTTGTAAGGTGCCTGAACGAGACAGGTGCATTAGCAGCACAGTGGGAAGGACGGCCGCGCCGAGTCTCTTTATTCTTGCTGCGTTTCGCACCGTACTTGACCTTGGCGATACTTGGAGCACCGCTTGTGAGTAAAAGACCTGCCCGGCTATTCTGTGCTCCTTCCCGTCTCGAGTCGCATTAAACTCACCGCTAATTGGTGTGAGCTAAAGCCCTCTCTTATTTGCAGGTTGCCACGCACATTAGCTTGGGGACGTTTAAAGCAAAGCAGGTTTGCTGAGGGCACCCGTCCTTGCCGCCTTAATACAGCCCCACAGACGCCTCAGCTGTCGCGGCGGCGGCTCTGGAGACTTGGAGCGAGGAGAGGCAGGAAAGGGGCTTGCTGTGTTTAAAGCAGAGCTTCCAAAAAAAAAACCCCACACCACAGTTATAAGAAGAAGAAGAAGAAGAGATTGGATTTATACCCCGCCCTTCACTACCCAGAAGTGTCTCACAGCGGCTTACAAACGCCTTTGCCTTCCCCTCCCCACAACAGACACCCTGTGAGGCAGGTGGGGCTGAGAGAGCTCTGACAGAAACTGCTCTTTTTCAAGGACAGCTCTTGTCAGAACTATGGCTTGCCCAAGGTCATCCAGCCAGGTGCAAGTGGAGGAGTGGGGAATCAAACCCGGTTCTCCCAGATTAGAGTCCGCCCACTTAACCACTACACCAGACTGGCTCTCAGTTATAAATACAAGTACTGAAAATTCTTATACCAGGGGTCCCCAACGGGCTTGTTCTTATACTATGGTGTCCCCCCAACACCTTTCCTGGTGAAATTGGTGAGATTTGCAATCTGTCTACAAACACTCACGCGCGGCGTATGCACACGTACAGGAAATGTCTGCGAGCACTGGAGATCTCTGCTCATACTTCCGAGGCCTGATTTGAGTTGTTGGTTCAACTGCCTCCTTCTCCTCTCTCCCTTTCTTTTCTGAACAGCCTGAACGCATTTCAGGAGAGCAGTATGGCATTCATTCCGACGTTTGGAGTCTGGGGATTTCCTTCATGGAGGTAGGTGCGTTTTATGGCTTTCTTAAAATGGTACGGAGCGCCAGCCTGTGAGTTTTTAAACATTCCCTGTGCACAGTAGACCTGGCCCTGCAGCTATAGGTGGAAATGCCAGGGGGGGGGGGGGTTGTTCTGAGGCCCGAACTCTGGAGGTCTCATCCGTATCTAGGCTGCAAACTTTGGGTTGGGAAATTCCTGAAGATGTGGGTGTGGAACCTGGAGAGGTTGAGGGGGGAACTATGGCTTGCCCAAGGTCTCACCAGCAGATGCATGTGAAGGAGTGGGGAATCAAACCCGGTTCTCCCAGATTAGAGTCCGCGCTCTTAACCACTACATAAGAACATAAGGGAAGCCAATGTTGGATCAGGCCAATGGCCCATCCAGTCCAACACTCTGTGTCACACAGTGGCCAAAAATACCAGGGGCCATCAGGAGGTCCAGCAGTGGGGCCAGGACACTAGAAGCCCTCCCACTGTTGCCCCACCCACCCCAAGCACCAAGAAGACAGGGCATCACTTGCCCCAGACTGAGAGTTCCTATAAGAACATAAGAGGAGCCAGTGCTGGATCAGGCCAATGGCCCATCCAGTCCAACATTCTGTGTCACACAGTGGCCAAAAATATCGGGGGCCATCAGGAGGTCCAGCAGTGGGGCCAGGACACTAGAAGCCCTCCCACTGTTGCCCCACCCACCCCAAGCACCAAGAAGACAGGGCATCACTTGCCCCAGACTGAGAGTTCCTATAAGAACATAAGAGGAGCCAGTGCTGGATCAGGCCAATGGCCCATCCAGTCCAACA